CTTGGGGCATTTTGGAAAAGGAAGGCCCCAAAAAAAAAAAAAAAAAAAAAAAAAAAAATCAGAACTGAGATCATGACAAAAATTTTAAAAGTTTATTTACATATGGCAAAAATGTAATAATAAATAACATTGCAACTTCAAATGTTTTGTTATTAAGTTATTAAAGCCCAGACCTACGTCGCTGCGACGAGATCAAGCTGGATGTGTTCAGGGCACCTGGATAGGACGCAGCCTCTCCCCTCTTATGTTTTAGCACGAGATATTCTTTCTGTTGTCATGGTCTTAGTTGGCCTAAGAGCTCACCGAGAGCCACGAACCGTGCCATGATGAACTGCACAGTAAAGATCCCAAAATCGCCGGTGCCGTGAATGAGCCAACTCATCGAAAATGTTAGGATCAGGATTCTTCAATTTGCTTCATCGGTCTTGATCTAACACACGATTGAAATTAGCAGAGAATAAATTATATAACCTTACGTATATATATATATATATATATATATATATATATATATATATATATATATATATATATATATATATATATATATATATATATATATATATAAATATAAATACTATGGTAATATAAGGAAGCGGTCTGTCTTAATCATTACGCCATAGTGACATTATCGTTACTTCGTGAGGCTGAAGCCGGCTAATCTAACCACAAAGGTGAGTTATTTTAGACACAATCGATTTCAATCCTTTTAATTCCTTTTAGCGCGGCGCCGATGAGGTATTAGTGTTTTAATCATGTCGACCTCTGATGAATCTTTTAGGAATTCATAGGAATGATCATTTTGTTTGCCATTTAATGCGTTGAACACACGGTGGCCATTTTGAGATTTTGTAATCTCAGAACTTGATCCCATACAAAGATGGCGATGTAGCTTTAGGTAATTGTTATCCGAAGCCACTCGTCGAAAATTCACCGGGATGTACTATATTAATATTTAAATTATTTATAAGATTAAATTGCGTTATTATGACTGGGAAATTTCATTTGCCCAATGCAGACGCTAGCCATACATGCTTTGCACCGGCAACGGTGACATAAACAATGCTGTCCTAATACTGGATATTAATGATGAGGTTATGCCCCTTTCAATGCCTCGCTCTGGATTCGTCGTTTTGGAAAGGGACATGCCAGCTTATGCCTCGCTCTGGATTCGTCGTTTTGGAAAGGGACATGCCAGCTTATGCCTCGCTCTGGATTCGTCGTTTTGGAAAGGGACATAACCTCAGCTTATGCCTCGCTCTGGATTCGTCGTTTTGGAAAGGGACATAACCTCAGCTTATGCCTCGCTCTGGATTCGTCGTTTTGGAAAGGGACATAACCTCAGCTTATGCCTCGCTCTGGATTCGTCGTTTTGGAAAGGGACATAACCTCAGCTAATGACTATTTTAAAACTTTGCCCCCATTCCTTTTTTTTTTCCTGACACCATTTCACCTGTATCCAGGTCACCTCGTTTCCGTAGTGCAAGAATCCGCCGAACTTAACATCAAATAGGATGGCGTGTTCCAAGGACTCTACACCGACGACGCTCCACACCCCACAACGTACAGCTGCGACGTGCATTTTCGCTTCTAGCCCGAGAAGCCACGAAGGCGAGGATTGTAGGAACCGCTTTCACCACCAAGCTACAATAAGTCATAATAACGATCAGAGATCCGCCCAGCCCAAATTAAACTAAATTCATCCCGCTGTGGCGCCCTTTAGAGGGTAACTTTTGTCCATAGCTTAGTCTTGCCCCTTACATCTTATAGTCCCTCAAATTCGTTTTCGATAACTTCTCAATGCAATACTGCATTTTAGCACAAACCTGAATTTACTTTTGCATCATTCTAGACTTAATCGGAGAGCAACGGGAGAAATGCTAGTTATAAATTTAGGTTTCACTTGACCTCAGAGCCATCGTGTGGGCCTTGGATAGTTTTAGGGGATTCAATATGTGATGTGGATACTTTTTTAAAATTACCAACTTTGAAAGCAAGATGGAGGATTACAAAACCAAAAAGTGGCATGTGGTGGGTTGGAGAGCCAAGCAACGGCTCTGCCTGTCCTGGTTGTGTTAAACAATTGTTTTTATGTTACAAAATAGTAAAGTGGTTCTCAATTATTACTTCACTTATTTTGGGAGTAAACTCTTGAATAAATAATTGTACACAAATTTTGTATGGCATTCCTAATATTCAAATGATTGAAATATATATATGTTATTTCAAACTTCTATCCAAAGAATTCATTTTTAAATGCCGATTTAGAATTGGTCATTTTTTAAAATCTTTAAAACTAGAAACCCCCCTCACCCCATTAAAAAAGAATAACAAACAGAGATGAGAGAGAGAAATTAAATGAAATGGAATGGGCGTGAGCATCGCAATGTTGGTTCGCCAAAAAGGTTTTTGTTTTAGCTTTTATCTTAGAATGAAGACATACATAAATAAATGTGTGCGAATTGATGGCCAAAACTTTTAAATTTTAAAATCAATTGGGAATTTAATAACTGTATGCTAAGAATTTAAAAAAGACAAGCCTGTTATTCTGCTAGCTGTGTTACAAATGTAGCACCCTGAAAGAGAACATGATCAAACTCGATTTAATAATAGTTGATGACACGTCCAATAGTAGTAGGCGGTTAAATTCTTAATTTATTTGAAAATAATATCAATATTTTAAAGTTTTCATTTTATTTAGCTCAAAATACGCAAATCGAGTACAATTAAAATGATATAAGTAACTCTATTTCCCTACTTTACAAATCATGCTTAAAGATGAAAAGTAGTTTAAAAAAAGAGACTGTCAGTGCTTGATACTTGGGAAGAATAATACTAACATTATAGACCTTGATATTGATCTGTTGGTAGTTAAGTACTGTAATACTAAAATATTTAATATAAATAAAATAACAATACCGATATCTGTTAACAATGAGACGTAAGACTTCGGCTTATAATTGGGAGCGGGCAAGTTTCGGAAAAGTGTAGGCCTATTGTGCGAATAGAATGGAGTAACAGAGTAAGCGTCTTAGGGGTCGTCAACAATTTTTCCGCAATTTTTGACTCCCCCCCCCATTGTCAACAACTGTCAAGCTTTCGATGACCCCCCCCCCCTATTTAATTATGTCAACATTTTATCAAAATTGTAGGGAAAACATTTTATTACATGTTTAGCTCGTTAAGCAACAAGTTAAAAAGTGTTTACATTTAAATTTTATAATGCAGAATCAATTAAAAGTTTTTTTAAAGACTAAA